GTAGGAATATGAAGGAATGTTAAAATATGAGGCTTCGGCAGAACTGATGATAAATCATTGTTTATTTTAGTTTTTCCACCATTTTTTAAAAATAAAATAACATAAGTTTTAACATCTAAGAATAAATATTTGTCAGACTGGCGCAGACCAGTGTTCCTCAGCACAGGGCTGTGACTCTGGGACTGCTGAGCTGGTGTTTTCCAGGTGGAGACAAATGTCCTTGTGCTGTTTCAGAAAAATGCACTAAATGCCTTTGGCACAGACTTCTGTGATTCCTATCTGTGAGTTAAGTGCCATAGTGTACAATTTCATTTTGTGACTGGCTGTTGATTAAGTACCTTTATACTTCAAGTCATTTGATTACGAGCAAGTTTATGGTAAAACGGTTTAAATGGTAGTGTGATTTTGTTGAACCAGACCAAATTCTGCAGGATGCTCTATTTAGGATCAGAAGGGACGAGTAAACCTTTTGTCATTTCGTCTTGCCAAGTTTCTGTTGTTTTCATTTCCATATTTAAAGCTCTTTGCCAAACTTGTGAGTGTAATTGTTGTCCATCCACGCTGCTTTCACCGCCTGTCAACTCCTGCTATAACCACATCCTTCACTAAACTGTTCTGCTTGTTTTCAAGCACTCGTCCTACAAGGGGTATTTCATTAATGTCTTAGCTTTATTTTCTTTGATTCATGAATAAATAAATAAATTTTATGTTACACATCAATTCAGTGGAAAAACAATAGAGGCCAAATTCTGTGCTCTTCAAATGATTTAATTGACAATAAGAACATTTACTTCCTCACCCCTAAATCTCAGATTAACAGATGCATGAGCTTGTTGGCAACTCAAAGGTTTCTGTTCTTGCATGCCTGAATAGTACAATATCAGAAGAAGACTACGAAATTGGCAGCTAAAAGATATCATATTGTGACCCAAGCACTACAGGGTCTACAAGCCCATAAAAGTTCTTTACAAAGTCATGGAAATTCTAAAGTTTAAGTATTAAAATTGTTAAATTCTGTTATTTATATGCATAGGTCTTCATCGACACATTGACCACTTGGTCAGTGGAATATGTTAAAAACAAGACCATTATCACCTTTTAAGTCAATATGAGGTTTTTGCACTTTCCAGTTAAATCAAACTGATTTGTTTTCCGTAGAAGTGACATTCCTTTGAAATCAGGGCTGTAACCTCCCTCTAACCCCTCACTGCAGTAGTGGTAGCAGCTCCATGTCTAGTTGCAATATTTCAATTCTTCTTCTCCTGTTAATCCCTCAAACTCAATTCGAGAGGCTCGCTGACATGTTGCATTCTGCGACTAGATATCTAGGAAGCTAAATATCTAAACAAATCGGTGATTGCTACAGCCAATCAGAATGGTCCAGACATAATGAAATACTACTCTGGGGTTTCTCCAGATAAAAGATCTTTTTATGTCTTACCCCCGTCGTCAGTCAGTCATGTACTCACAACAATTACTCATCACAAAACAGCAAGTCTGCACAGTAATCCAATGATATTCAAAGTTGTGCAGTGTTAACGTGGCAAAAGTTGAGCGCATTCCAAAAGTTGTTTCATATTGAAGTGATGCAGTTAACGTTTGAGGCTTACTCGACCTCCCTAAGCCTGCCTGGTCTTCTGCAGTTAGCGATTTGCAGTAGAACTTTAATCACCTGTGTTCAATTGCAACTCATTTGTTCAATCAACCTTTTTTTACTTTACATTAAATTATCTGAAATCTAATCGTGGTACAAAGGTCTTTAATGGTTACATTTGTCCTGAGCTGTGGTGTGACTTTCAGACCTGACTGCACCATTGGGGACATCCAGGGTCCAATATGATTTGTTAAATACCCTTTTGCAGTGTGTTGCAGGGTCCCTGTGGAGAAACGGCATATCTTTTCCACTTCCCTCTCAGACGTGACACCATTCCGGTCACAATGCATTGACGTTTTTTAGGGTTCCTCTGAAAAGGTTGTATAAAGAAACATTTGAGGCTTCATTTTCCTCCCTGTGGTTTTCACAGTTGTCTGTCGCCAAAGTTCAACAGTGGTGCGTGGAGAAGAGAGGGAGGGAAGGAGGGAGAGAGAGAGAGAGAGAGAGAGAGAGAGAGAGCATGCAAGCGTACATTTCTCTCGTGTCTCCATTATGCATTTCCATATCTTGTCCTTTGCCAAATGAGTCCGTTGTCTGCTCAGAGACCAGCGCTAATGAGAGAGTTGCATTGCAGTATTTTAGGAGTCATTGCTCTGCTATTCATCAGGAGAGATTCGTGATCAGCTGGTTCTTTTCTTCTGCTCAGCCACCCCCCACTCTCTCTCTTTACTCTCTGATTGATCATAATGAGCTTGTTGGTTCCAACTACCTAAGATGGACCAAACAAAATGGTTCCCAGTTCTCTCTCTCTCTCTCTCTCTCTCTTTCTCTCTTTCTCTCTCTCTCTCTTTCTTTCTGTCCGTCTCTTCATATTGAACATTGATCTTAGGGACTGAGGACATTTTGGGAAAGTGAGGACATTTTTGAATTGCTGTAAGGGTGTGCGTGCGTGTGTGTTTGTAAGGACCATATTTTCTTTTTCTGACAAACGCCAATGGGCTATTTATGGGTGTCACTCTTATAATAAGGTGGTGGATGAGGTGTGGTGTTAGGCATCATGTTATGCTAAGATAAGGGACTAGGGAACGCACGCGCACAGGCCTCCACAAGCATGCTCATTGCTCTGTTGTTCCTCGGTTTAGAGTTCTGTCACTGGCTGAATCTAAGCATTTGTACTCTTGTGGTTTTATGTGTAAGACTGTTCTATGTGTATGCATGTATCAGTCTGTGTGTGTGTGTGTGTGTGTGTGTGTGTGTGTGTGTGTGTGTGTGTGTGTGTGTGTGT